CTTGTGATTAGCACATTCTAATACCTTAGATTTGTCAGGTAGTAAAGAATTTGATTATCAGACATTACTGAAAGTGGAATTCTTTGTCTCAGGTGAGTTGTTGCTGCAGCCAGCGTGGGGAAGATGATAGGAACTAATAGGTCAAACACTGCTTTTGTGGTTAGAGTTTAGAGGTCAGTCTCTTTGGGGGCAGTGAAATTAGAGCTGATTAACTGGCCTACTTCTTGGTTACTGAACCCATATGCCATTATGACAGAAAGGAAAGAATATAAAGGCAAAACCACCATGAATTTTATACTTGTATTGATTTTTAGAAGAATATACATTTATTCATAAAATATTTAATCTAATTTGTAAAAATCCTATTATATGTCAAGCACTGTGCTACCTTGGAGATACAAAGGTGAAAGACACAATTGTCCTCCTCAGGAAGCTCTTTCCTAAGAGAATAGGAGAGAAAAATGTGAGAAATAATTACAAGGTTGTTTAAGAAATGCTAAAATAGAGTTAGCTCAAGTTGCAGAGAGTACCTAAAACAAAGGATGATCAGACTCTTCTGAGGTATCAGAAAAGAAGAGCAAAGGGGCACATGAACTGGATCTTGAAAGATGAATTGAGTTTGCCTAGAGGACAAGAAGATGATATTCTAGGCTGAGAGAGCAGCTTACAAAGACAGAAAAAGACACCATGACACAATGGGAAATATACTTAAAAAAGGGAAAGAGAGGAAGGAATGTTAAAAAATAAGACTAAAAAAGAAGAGAGGGGCTAGCTCATGAAGGGGTTTATATACCTATTCCTTCAGTAGTTCACCAATAAAATGTGAAATTTTGTCAATAGACTAACTGTTTAGAGGGATTGGGAAGAGTGGAAACAAAGGGTGTTTTATTTAGTAAACTCTCTATTATGAAAACCAGGGGAGTAATGATGTAGTGATGGAGTGGAGCAGAAAAGTGTGAATCATAGGAGGAAGAACTAATAGGATTGACAGTCAGTTGGAAATGGATATGGGAGATGACTTGGAGTTTTTCCTTGGATGTTTGAATGAAAGTGGTGTCATTCACTCAAATAGGGATTATAAAAGTAACAAAAATTGGAGCTGGGTTGAGCTATATAATCAAGTTAGTTTTTAATGTTTTGATTTTGAGGTACCTGTTGAACATCTGAAATTCTAGAGAGATTTGTGAGTATAAACTTAAAGGGAGCTACAGAAGACATGGGCTTGGGTGAAGTATGATTCTTTTCCTTTCTTATGGAGAATGTTACTTTTAGGGTTTTAGTAGGGGAAGAAGAGCATGTTAACTGAGAAGTAACTGGAGAAGAACCAGGGAAGAGGGCTACCAAAATTTTAGAGGAGAAGAGAGTTAAGAATATGTGTTAATACTTGTTGGTACAGTGGTAGATTTATACAGAAACCTTATGTTTCTAATGTGTCATAATCTGTAATTTTAGTAGTAAAAGTTTTTAAATTTGTTTTGTAGTTAGAATTTATTTTTAGAAAGCTATGTATATGCATTTGTTTAAGCGTATGCGTACTACAGACATATGCATTGCTATAATTACTGTTACCATATAACAGCCCAGAAGGGTGATAGTCTATTCAATCTACAGTTAATAAAACTAAATTTAGGTAATGTGTTTAAGGACATATGACTTCCTGGCTCCTACTAGACAGTGATGTCTATATACATATATTGAAATGACAATAAATCTTTAAGTTAACTTAATAATATTTCTCACTTCCAAACCCTTTTGTAAATGTAAATAAAACTTAACAATTTTAAAGTGTATCATACCATAAAAGGAGTTAATTATCTATTCATTTGTTATTATTTTCAAAATTCTAATATAATCTTTATAGATATAGATATTTTTTAACTTTTTAAATTAAATGTCATGTACATCTCATGTTTAATAATTTTTTTTTTTTAGTTTTGCCTTTTAAGTCATTTAGTTATAGGTTATCCTCCTCCTATGTCTTCAGTATTTGTCTGGCATTAGAGGTATATTCACTTCTAAATGAATAATAAAGTTTATTCTTTCTTGATAAGACTAAAATTTGAAAAGAGTACATTGAATAAATATAGTGAAATATATTAATGGTTATTTGGTCAATTCTCTGTTTCCTACAGAAATTATCTGTAATTCTTAGGTTGTTTTAGAAAGATAGATATACTTCATTAAATGTGTTATTCTTCAGTTCTAGTTATAGCCAGTACTAAAAACTCTCATGATAAAATGTAGCTTCAGAACATGACCCAAGGTTATAATTGTAGTTTTTACAGAAATGGAAAGGAAGCTTGTGTATATGTGTGTGCGCTTTTTAAACTTTGCTTTTAATTGTAAAAATTCCTCGGAAAGCTGGGTATGGTGGTGCATGCCTGTAATCCCAGTGGCTTGGGAAGCTGAGGCAGAAGGATCACAAGTTCAAAGCCAGCCTCAGCAATTTAGCAAGGCACTAATTAACTCAGTGAGACCCTGTCCCTAAATAAAATATAAAAAAGTCTGGGAATATGGCTCAGTGGTTTAAGTTAGTCTCTGGGTTCAGTCTCTGGTACTTTATGGGGGAAAAATATCAAACTTCTAGGAAAAGTGGGATGGTATAAATAATTAGAAAGAAGCAAATCTTGAATTATGTCCTTTGATTTTCCACTAATTATTAGGGTGACCTGGCAAGGTAACTTTTTGTAACTTCTGTAGAATGCAGAAATATTAGAAGATGAAAAAGTTTCCTTCTGATATTGAATTCTTTAATTATGGTAGGGATTAGGAAAATAGGCTGGTTGCAGCATTATTTCTGTGCTGGCCATGGTTTCAATGTAATGTGGTTATTAGAACCTTCATCTTGAAAAGAGATAATTAAAAGAGCTCTTTGGCTGGGCATGGTGTTGCACACCTGTAATTCCAGTGACTGGGGAGGCCGAGGCAGGAGGATTCCAAGTTCAAGGCTAATGTGGATAACTGGAAAGACCCTTAGTGAGATCCTGTCTCAAAATAAAAAATTAGTCGGGCATGGTGGTGCATAACTGTAACCCCAGTGGCTGGGGAGGCTGAGACAGGATGATCATAAGTTCAAAGCCAGCCTCAGCAAAAGCGAGGTGCTAAGCAACTCAGCCAGACCCTGTCTCTAAATAAAATACAAAATAGGGCTGGGGATGTGACTCAGTGGTAAAGTGCCCCTGGGCTCAATACCCGATAGGTAGATATATATATATAGATAGATAGATAGATAGATAGATAGAAAGCTCTTTGACCCAGTTAACACCTATATAAAAGAAATTTGCAAAACTCCCCATACTGCAACTTGAGATAATATTTTTTTCTGCCGGAAGAAGTTAGTCTTTTAAACACTTTTAGGTTTTAGTCTTTAAAATGATTTCTTAAAATTACAGATAAAACCCTTATAATAATTGAATTGAAATAAAAGTTAATAATGTGTTTCTTATCATGTTACTCCTCTGCTAAAAGTTCTGTTGTTCTCAGTGTCATCCATGGAACCAGGAGGCTCTGGTGGAAAAACTGGAAAGCTGGGAAACTTACTTGTTTTAAAAATGGGATGATAATAATGTTACCCACTTAGTAGAATTTTTGTGAACATTAATTGAAGTGATGTAAAGTTACTATGAAAATAGTGCTTGGCAAGTAATAAGTAAGTAACTCAGCTAGTGTTAAAATTAATAGAATGAAGAAATTTTAACAGAAAATTAGACTTTACATTGACATAATTAGTAGAGGAAACTGAATAAGAAAAATTGATTTTTTTCTTTTGGTATAGAGAGATTAGATCGAAATTTGACAGAAATATTTTTCTCTTTTCTGCTGCACAGAGTAGAACATGTATTTTGCTTATATTCTAGCTCATGTCTTCATAGCTTCACTAAGCTACTATACACACTACCATCAACACCATGCCAGAGTTATATTAATGGATCTTTGATAAATTAATCATAAAATATAGTTGATTTCTAAGTCTGTTGCTCAGAGAAAATGAAAGTCTGATGTAGGAAATCAGTGACAATAGGTTTATGTTATTCAGGTAAATTTTTTACCCAGTTTTAAGATTTAATTTTATTCATGTATCTAAAATTATTATCTGACTCTTCAGATTTTGACTTTGGATTCACAAATATTTTTCAGTATTTGTAGCAGAACCTTTTAATCCAGTGCTTGTCACATAATAAAAAGGGACATCTGATGCAAAAGCAAAACTTAGGATGTTTTCAATGAATAATTTAAAATTTTTAGACAAATATTTTAAATGTCATGAGCAGAATTTTGTTGAAAGCTAAGATTAGTGGATTATTTTTAATTCAGGGAGAAGAAATTAAAATAGCTGGAATAGTATTCCTATATAATACAATTATTTCATGATTGTTTCTTCATGTTGAACCAAAAGATGATGAATTCACTCTTCAGTCTAAACAAGATTTAGGGAATAATAATAATAATAGTAATCATCATCATCATCATCATCATCATCATCATCATCATCAATCTTTAGGGAAAGAAGAACTTCATCTAATAGTGAACTGTAGGGATATTACTCCATACTACCCAGGATTGGGAGCTGAAGTTAGTAGTAAGTTTTGGTTAGGAGGCAACCACAATAGAGCACAAATTGGCAAGGCTGCAGCATAAAGTCAAGGCAAAGTATGGGATAAAGGGAAATTCCCAAATTCAGATTGGCCATAAGGACAGTCTAGAGTCTAGTAGAAGTCATTTGGATATGTATTTTGGGGTTTACCTTAAAAGAGAATGTGAAGGGTTGGGTGATGTAGATCAGTGGCAGAATGCTTACCTAGCACATTCAAGGGACTGGGTTCAAGCCTGAGCACTGCTAAATAAATAAGTAAATAATAGAGAATATAAAGTAATTGGGACTTGAACTTGATGAGCTATAATGATCAGGGTAGGATTCAGATTTCTTTATGAAATAATTAAAACTTTGTTCAGGAAGAATTATGTGAACTTTCTATTTACACTTTCTTTACTTTTTTCAGATCAGCTGTTCCATGTATTAGCCTTGCACATGCGACTTTATAGCATTGACTCTGAGTATAATCCCTGGAAAAAGCTTACTCAGTTAGTAGAAGACATGAATTCACAGTAAGTATTATTGAAGGATTAAAATCAGTTGAAACTCTTTTTGAAAAAGTAGTTGTTAAATATAACAATGGGATTGAAATACAGGAATTTTTCTCACATTTTCTTTATGAAACATATATAATGCAAATTGAAAACCATGCAATTATACTCTACATAAAAATTTCATAAAAATTCCTGTCAAGTGGGAAAATCTTTTTAAAGAATCTTATTGGTTTTCGAAACATTCAAATGGAACCCCATAACAGCTAGTTGTTATATTTATGTCAGCATTGATTAGTGGGCTAATAGCCTTAGGCTAATTCCTCCCTTGTAACATTCCGAATTGGTCTTTCACCTAAGGGTTTTAGCAATCCTTGATGATTTGTGGCTTCATTAGGTGCCACAAAATAGTAATTTAAAAAAAAATCCTAAACAAAACAAAAAAAATATTCTTCCTTCTGATTTATTAGCTGGATTGTTTCTATAAAGAACTTTTATTATTTGTTGATATATAGTTTGGCAGGATGAAGGCTTGATTCTTTCCTATTTTATAAATTTTCAAAGTAACAAGTTGATGCCTTAGTGACTTCTAATGAAGTTCAATAAATTGTAGTTATTTATGACCTCATGGATTTTTATATAGTTAATACGTTTCTTGCCATTTCAGTCCTTCTTTTCAATGCAAATCATTCTCTTTTAGTGTAGTGAGAATCCTTCCAGGTTGGCTCTTGCATTTTTGAAATGAGCCAAGTAGTGATGATATCCTTGCTCTCTGGTACAGCAAGTGTTCATTTTGAACATATTCCACTTGGTAACTAAGAGTCAGCTGTTTCTCCATGTAGCTCCCTATAATGGCAAATGATATTTAGAGACTATAGTCTGAGTCCTAAGGGGGCATATATAACTACTATGTTGTTATTATTTATAGACCATTTCAGTGATAGAGTTAAGATATATTATTTTTAAAAGAAAAAAAAAGATCTTGAGTTCTTACTGGTATTTGTAATTCAAATATAAGATTGTAAGGTTTTAGTTTTATTTATTTATTTATTTTGCATATTTTTCGAAACACACGACTAAATCAGTCAGGGTCACTCCAGGTGAACTGGGCTGGCACAAAATAATCACACAGAGACAGAGAAATACCTTTTTCTTTGGGTTCTGTGACAGCTCCTCTGACTCAGCTCCCACAAAAGAGGCAAGGCAGGCAAGAAAGAGAGAAAGCATGCCTTGAACCTGGGTTTTATTGGGGGAGGCTCTTCCATGGAATATTCTATCCCAAAAAGGGCAAAGGCATAGGATTACAAAGGAACAAGTAAGTGTAACTCAATCCCAGTGTGTAACACCTACTACTGGAACCACGCCTTGTTATCCTAGCTGGGGTAAAGCCCAAGTTACTGCATGCAATAATTGTTCAGAACCCTGGTGCATCAGGACTTAAAGGCATCGTCTGCATCCAGGGCAGCTCCTGACACATCTTTTTTCTTTTATTCTGAAAATCTTTGTTAACATTATTATTTATTAACATAATTATTTATTTGTATAACTAATTTTTTATAATATCAGTATTACTATTAGATAGAAGTTCTCTTTATTCATAACGTATAATGTGTATCACTAGGAATATATGGTCAAAATACTATGTTTTCAATTAACTTGAAGTTACTTTTCTTGAGAGGTTATGCCTTCAACTTGATTCATCGTCAGGCTCATTTATTTCAGTTCTTTTTCCTCAGTATTTTATGATTTTTTTCACTTTTATTTGTTTATTTTTATTATATAAGATAATTTTTTCCAAAGTTATAACTAGATTTTAAAGTAAATTAAAGACCTCTATCTTCCATTTCTGTCTACTTGCATTTCTTTTTTGTGAAGTCTCTAATTATTTTGCCCATTTCTAAAAGTTGGGTTGTTGACCTTTTCACTTATAAGGTATCCTTATGTATTATGGATATTAACTCTTTGTGTTATAAGTTGCAAATATACTTTACCATATTGTCAGATATCTTTTTATTTTATGATTTTTTGGTCAAAGATTTTAAAATTATAGTCATTTATTAATTTTTTCATTTATTCTGGATTTTGAGTCATAAACATATCTTCCCCCTACCCCTTAACTATAAAGCAGTTCATCCATGGCTTCGTGTAGTACTTCTGTGGTTTAAATTTTTAGTTTTCTAGGCTGTTTGGAATTTATCATGGCATAAGGTGTAAGTATTGGACCCAATTTCATTTTTCCATATAGCTATCAAATGGCCTACTGCTTTGCCTTCATATAACAATAACATTAAAACAGATCTTAAAATAAAACAGAAGAAAGAGAAGAAGAGTGACAATATAAACATTAGTTTACAAATTAATGCTGTCAATGGAAGGAGTAAGGTAGAAAACTTAACCAATGAAACTTTATCCTAAATTATGTAGTATAATCAAACACGATTATACAGAATTTTAAATTTTTCTTTGTTCAGAGGTTATGTGTTCTGTGTATTTTTGAAAAAGAAAACAGTTTAAATCCCACAAATTGACATTTTGTGTCAATCACTAGTGGACTAAGATATTTTCCTCAGTAATCTCTGAAATTTGTTTTTAATTTTTATACTTAACACAGCACACAAACTAAATTGTTTTTGTATGTAAGACTGATTTTGCCTGAAATGCTGTCATGAGTACTTGGGGCATTTATCTTCTACAGGGTATTCTTAGAGGTAATAACATATAAACTTATTTTATAAACTCTTGAACTATGTATTTGACATGTAAAAAATGTACAGTATTAATGCCAACCGTCCCTTAAAAGTTAGCCTATAAGTATTGTTGTATAATTTTCTTTGGTTAGAAACATTTTGGTCTAAGTAATGTCGTCAGAATTTTCTTCAGTGCCATTCAGCAAAACCATCTGTTTTTTAGCTTATGCAACTACCAAAAATTTGTATGCTGCAGAGTACCTTATAGTTTTCATTTTTAAAATTTCTTCACTGTTCTTGTGGAACCTGACCTAGAGGAAAGCTCCAAGGAAATTTACTTGAGAAAAGCCAACATTTCCAGGTTAAATAGTGGAATCTACCAAAGATAACCAATAGTGTCTACCATCCCAAAGTTGAGGTTGTTGTTTGTGCTTATTTGTGGGATATTTGAATAAAATCGGACATCAAATTTTTCAGTTCCATGTCCCTCATGAAAAACAAGCAGTTACTTACATTGACTTGCAGACAAAGTAGAAACCACCCTGCATGTTTTTGTTTTTGTAAAGATTTTTCCATCCAAGTACGTGCAATCCAATTTCTTGTCTATCACACTATTGTATAAAGAGCAGCAAAACTGGAGGGAAGAAGTGACTGCTATACACACTGAATCGCTCTGCATAGTCTTATTTGAGACAATTGATGTATGAATCTTGACTTTTTAATATTTGGAAACATCAAATAAAAATGGAAATGATAAAAAAAAAAAGAAAAGGGGGAAGACATTTTTTGTTTACGGGCATAGAAAGATCACCACTAAAATATAATAATAAAAGATAAATAAATCCAGGAGAAGAAAATGTGTAGTTATGCCAGTATTTGTATAATAAAGTTGGGGGTGGGTGAGGATAAGAAAATAATTTGGTGCTTGTTTGTTAAAAAAATAAACCAATCCACAAGCATACATATCTGGATATTAGATTTATACCATAGATGATACTAAGGAGCATTACTTTTATTAAAAAATATACTGAGTTAAATGGAACTTCATATGGGAAAGAATTAATATTTACCCCTGTCACAGAATCCAAAGAAAAAGGTATTTCTTTGTCTCTGTGTGATTATTTCATGCCAGCCCAGTTCACCTGGAGTGACCCTGACTGGTTTAGTCGTGTGTTTAGAAAAAGATGCAAATAACCAATAAATAAATAAATAAATAAATCTAAAACTTATTCAAATTTTGCTAATTGTTTCAGTAAAATATATAGCAAAACAAAATTCAAGATCATGCTTACATTTGTTGTCATGTATCTTTAATTTTCTTTAATATGAAATTGGTCCTGAGTTTTTCTTTGTATTTCATAACATTGACATTTTTAAGAAAAGTTTAGGCAAGTTAGTTTGGTAGAAAGTCTTTTAATTTGCTTCTAGCCTACTGATGAGATTCCAGTTATACAATTGAGCAGAAATACTACATACTTATTTTGTGGTCTTTTTTTTTTTTTTTAATGGTACTGGGGATTGAACCCAGGGCCTTGAGCATGCTAGGCAAGGGCTCTACCACTAAGCTACATCTCCAGCTACACTCTCAGCCCTTGTGTGTCATAAGAGGAGGCACATGCTGTTGATTTGTTTCTTATGATAACAACTCTGATTATGTAGCTAAGGAGGTATCTGCCAAGTGTCTCCCCTATAGAGTTATTATTTTACCTTTTATAATTAGTAAGTATTGTATGGGAAGACACTTTGAGACTATGTATATATCCTGCTATACCTCATAACAAAGACAAAACTTTGGGCATGTGTTTTGTGCTTATAGACAAAATTAGCAAGCCATGAGTATTTTGCATGTTGTGATAAGGAAAATTGCTTTCCTTGATGTTAGCTAGTAATTTTCTAGCTAGATTTGAAAACTCAAGGGTGAAAATAGTGTAGAAATAAAAGATTAGAATTCCTGAATCTAAAAGATGTTCACCAAACAAAAAGTTTCTAAGCTTAGTGTTGGAAAATTAAAAGTTTATAGTACAGGGCTGGGGATGTGGCTCAAGCGGTAGTGCGCTCGCCTGGCATGCGTGCGGCCTGGGTTCGATCCTCAGCACCACATACAAACAAAGATGTTGTGTCCGCCGAAATCTAAAAAGTAAATATTAAAATTCTCTCTCTCTTCCTCTCTCTCTCTCACTCTCTCTTAAAAAAAAAGTTTATAGTACAGACATAGGTTCTTTGCTTTTCCTAATACTGAATGCCACATTATGTGGAGATTTTCTATCCATCCATGCATCCATCCATCTATCTGGAACGGGGAACATAGCTGTTAAGAAATAGAGCTGTGATCTGAATCTAAATCTTCCTGACTTCAGAGACTAAGCTTTAACTATTATTCTATGCTTCCTTTCCTAGCATTAGAAGGTCTGAAGAATTTCTTGAAAATCTGATTGTTTTCCCCACCTCATAGCCACATACACATATTTATTCTTTTTTTTTTATGATTCATTAGTTCATTACACTATAATACTCTAGTAAATTGTAATATGTCATGTGTTTAATGTTTATATATTTTTCAATTGAAATCTTTTTCTATTTTCTCACTTTAACATTTTTCCAGCATAAAAATTCTAATATTGCATGTTTTACTATATATACTTTTTTAATAAAATATTTCTTTTGTTGTAGATGAATACAATACCTTTACTTATTTGTTTTTTATGTGGTGCTGAGGATCGAACCCAGTGCCTTACACATGCTAGGCAAGCACTGTACCACTGAGCTACAACCCCAGCCATACACACACACACACACACACACACACACAGACTTTTATTCATTGTCCTAATGAAAATTATTTTCTTTACTTTTAATTTCATTGTGTTGATGATAACTGAGTTATTTTTTAAGTGGGAAATTATTTCTGTTAACTATATTACTTCCACTTTTCTTGTTATCTGTAGAGGAAAGAGTAACACATAATTTTTATGATCTGGATTCAAAAGACTAAAAACTTTTGAGAGAAACAATCAAAAAGAAACACAGCTTTTTTATTAAAGGGTAGTTTTTAGGTGAAATTTAAAAAGGAAGGTGTAGATATTTCTCACATGCTCGTTGCCCTCATGCATGCTGCCTCTCTATTACTTACCACCAGAGTAGTACATTTGTTAAAACTGATGAACCTGCATTGAAACATCATAACCACCACATTAGGTAATGTAATTCACATTAGGTCTCACACTTAGTTGTCTAATTTTAGTTTCTTTTGCCACCCTTTAATTTGTTCATCCATCTATCATTTCATTAATTTTTCATTTGTTTATTTAGTCTGCTAAATAAACAAATTTTTGAATTTGTTTATTAACTCTTTGAATTCTGACATTGGGATATCATTGTAAAGGTGATATAGTTCTTGTGGAAGCTTTTCCCACATACTAACAATATAGAGGAAGAATTAGAAGAGTATAAATTTGGAGGAGATTGAATAATTGGAAGGCAGTGGCCATAGGGTGTCAAAGAGGGAGTGGAGATAAAGTCTTTAGGACTTAATGCCAATTAATTTTTTTGCTTGGTATTGAAAATTACACACAGGGGAGAGAAGACAGGTTTGGAATATCCCCAAATTTGTAGCTTATTTATTCATTATACTTTTATTATGTGAATATTATATTTCAGGCATTGTGCTGAGTGCTAAAGGATGAAAGAAATATAACATTTCAACTATAAAATTATTAGAAGGGAGAACAGATTAATTGTGACTATTTGGGAGTGTATGTATGGAGTACGAGGAAAGATTGTGAATTCACTTTCAGACATGTTGAGTTTGAGCTGCCTGTTGGATATACAACAAGTGGAAATAATGAATATTCAGATACAGATTTAAGGAGAATCATGGATAGACATACAGACTTGGATGTCGTCAGTGTATAGCTGATGACTGAGATCATGGGTTAGGCTATTAGGTCTTTTAAGAAGAGCCTTTGGTGTGAAAAGAAGGGAGAATTAGAACCATGGGGAAGGCTCTAGATTGGTTAGAGAAAGAAGAGGAACCTGTGAAGACTGGCGTGGAGAAATTTGACATGTAAAAGAGAACCTACAGCAGTATGTAACAAAAGCCAAGAGTATTCATTTGTATCTAAAGTCAAGTCATAGATCAATAAGATAAAGATTTAAAATATTGACTAAATTTTATAACTAGGAGATCATTTTTGATCATATGGAAAACTAGTCTATGGGCTACTAAAATTGTAGAAATGGGTATCCCTCCAATATTGTCCTTCTTTCTTCTTTCAATTTTGAAGAACTTTGGTCTTGAATATTGAGAGGCCAGAGAGGCTTGAGAGACAGGATAATAGTAGGTTTTGTAGTCTTGAAGAAGGAGACAATTATAGCATATTAAGAGACATTTATAAGTTGGGTGCATTGGCACATGCCTATAATCCCAGTGTCTTGGGAGACTGAGTCAAGAGTATCACAAATTTGGGGTCAGCCTCAGCAACTCAAAATAAAAAACAAAAAGGGCTAGGAATATAGCTCAGTGGTAAAGCTCCCCTGGATGTAATTGCCAATACTAAACAAAAAATAATAAAGAGATTTGTAGAAAATGGAGAAATTCAAAGAGCTGTTTTCCTCTGGCAGTTTAAAGCCTCACAGCAGCAGGAACTGATTAATCTACCAATGTATACAGTACCTGGTTCATAATAAGTAATCAGTAAATATTTATTGAATGAAGAAGCTTAATTTTTGCTTATTCCATGTCTAGTCAGAAGTGTAGTTTGAGAACTTAGCCAATTCTTTAGGTTCCTCTTTACGTTTTTTTCTCTGACATTAAAAATTAAACCTATAATAAAAAAAATTAACCTTCTAGGGCTGCGGGTGTAGATCAGTGTTAGAATGCTTGCCTCATAGATGTGAAGGCCTGGGTTCAATCTTCAGTATCACAAAAACTGAAACTAAATAATTAAAATAAAAAGGTAACATTCTAAAGGTATTTTAAAAGTTCTTTTGGAATAAGCTCTACTTTATAATAGATTCTATGTTTTTCATAGTACTACACATTTGTAAGTTTTACTACACTGACTTTTATAGAATATTTTAAGTTTTACTTTGGTTATTATCTTTTCTGAAACTTTGCAAATGTTAAAAATTCTATTTAAATTTTATGGTAGTCATAATGTTGAAACAGCTTTTTACTACGAGATATTAACCAAGCTTTTTCAATATGACTTAACTTGTGAATTGTCCCTGTCTCGTTCTAGAATGAGAGCATTTATTCTTTAGTGCTTTGTGATAATCATTTGCATGTCCCTCTCATTTCTCAGCCATGGCTATTAATTCAGAAGATACATGAGGAGGGATGATGAGGATGAGGAAAATACAAACATAGAGAGTAAAAGGTGGGGCCAACCCCTGATGGGGGAAGACTGACACCAGAGCTAGCTCAGCACATTTATTATATAGGTTTTATCATCAAAAGGTTAATTGTGGGGAAAGTTTCACCAAAGCAGGCAATCTGAAGGATATAGGACTGGCAGGACAATTGGGGTCATCTTGTTTTGCTCAAAATTCACTGTCCCTGTGAGTTGGTATCTGAACTCAAGACCTAAACTGATAACTGCTATGTGCCTTTGCACGTAGCATCCCCACATTATCCTCCTCATCACTATAGCAACTGGGCCATAATGACCTGCATTTTTGTACAGGCAGCTCCCAGCGCAAATATAGCCATGAGAGAGTCAGAGGCCGTAATTTGATTCAAATCACCGCTTCCACGGTGATTGTCCTATGAGCTACCCCATTTGTCCTAAAACAATTCTCTGTTCTAATTCTCTTATATTTCATTTAATGCTTCACTTAATTTCTATAATTTTAAGAGGTTAGAAAGACTCATAATTAAGTTAACGTATCCCAGTTGTTTACTTTGGTAAGATTTAGTAAAGTATCTATACAATTTTTTCAAATTAGGAAAAGGAAATTATGGGTCTAAAAAATTTTTAGGCAAAAGATTATTTTGAGATTTCTCACTTGTTTATAAAGATTTTATTTCCATTTCATAGACATATAGAATATACAATGAATTAAAAAAGATGTACAATACTATTTAAAGTGATTATTCATTTTTCTTTTAGGTTGGGAAATGAAGAACAACAGCCTGAGGTTCCAATTCTTTATCATGATGTAACATCCCTTTTGCTTATCCAAATCTTAATGATGCCACAACCTCTACACAAAGGTATGTCTTTATAACTCACATTCTTTTATTATGTACTATATATTGTATTATGACTATTCTGGAGATTGATGGATCAATTAGAGCATTCAGTCTGCTGGAGATTTTTGTGATAAAACATTTTTTATTAGTAGTAAATGATTATCATATGTAAGAAGATGACAGTGAAATAAAGGTAGTTATTTCATTTGAGTTTGTTTGCAGTATTGTAGTCAATAAGAGGTAAAGAATGGGAAAAGTATTCAGAAAACATTTTTTTAAAAATGGAATTGACAGTACAAAACCAAAAAAAAAAAGAGCAATCTGCCACTTTTAATGCCTCCACCTTATCTATGTAAATCCATAGTTCATATATAGTAATTATAAAGCTATAAAAAATGTGATGTCCTGTCATTTTAAGCTAGTGCTAATGTAATAACATTATTATATTAATTGCATTAATATTAGCAACATTTTAATTATTGCTTAATAGTCTTCATAGTTTTCACTTGAAGACATTTAAAATATTCTCTCAGATAATTAATATTCTTCTGTGTTGGAGTAGTAATTGTCTTTTGTTCTGCTATTATAAGTTATAGTAGAAGGAACATCTGTGGGTGTATAAAGGCATTCTTCCTGGCGAAGACATTCTTTGTACATCAATTTGATCATTTGATAAAAATCACTTACCTAAGGACATCAAGTGATCTTATTTTAAATATAGACAAATTATGATATTTCATGTAAATTATAATATTCTGTAAAGAGAAAATGTCCTCAAAAAGTGTCTTAGTCAACTTTTTGTTGCTGTGACCAAAATACCTGACATAAAAAACTTGAAGGGGGCCCAGGACCACCCCTGCCGCCATGTGGGAGCAGGCCCAGGTCTGACCCAGGTCTGCCCCCACTGACCTGATGACCTATGCTGGATACAGGCCCAGGCATAGGCCCGCTTCTGCCTACCTGTGCAGGAGCCCAGACCCAGGGTAGGTCTGGGTCCTCACCACTGATTGGCAGGCCTATGCCAGAGACTAGGCCTAACCCACCTCCATCTTGGAATATTGCAGCCATTGCCATAACTCTTCCCACGCAGTTTCGTCAACCTTGTGACAACAGACAGGTCCTGGAGGCAGCTGCATCTCCAAACAGGCGGCCCAAAGCCATTGTTAGGCCCACCCTTTCAGCCCCATTGCTGAAAGTGGTTGCATTCATCTTGGGGCACCCCCACTGCTATCTCAAGTTACCTCTGCAATTGCTGCCACCACCTTTAGTCACAGTAGCATCCATCGCGGGACACTGGCAGGGTCTGGAAGCCCAACACCAAGGTGAGGTACAGATAATCTGCACGGATACTACAAGATTATAGTGTAGAAACTGTAATACTTCAGATCTGTACTGCAAGAAAGGAAGACACATAGACAACATGAAAATAATCAGGGAATTTTGTGCCCCAAACAAACCAGGATCCTACAATAATAGAATCCATGACAGCACAGTTGATGAAATAGCCGAGAAGGAGTTCAGAATATACATAATTAAAATGACCTGTGAATTAAAGAATGACCTAAATGAGCAAATACAGGCAAAGATTGATCACTCCAACAAAGAGATAAGGGAGCAAATACAGGTAGCAAAAGGTTACTTCAAAAAAGAGAGATTCTGGAAAAAAAATTGGAAATCCTCACGATGAAGGAAATAATAAACCAAATAAAAAACTCAATAGAAAGCATCACCAAAAGAGTGGATCACTTGGAAGACAGAACGTCAGATAATAAAGACAGAGTATTCAATCTGGAAAATAAAGTTGACTACTCAGTGAAGATGGTAAGAAACCATGAACAGAACATCCAAGAATTATGGGATAGCATCAAAAGACCAAATCTAAGAGTTATTGGGATAGAGGAAGGCACAGAGATTCAAACCAAAGGAATGCACAATCACTTCATTGAGATAATATAAGAAAATTTCCCAAATATGAAGAATGAATTGGAAAATCAAATACAAGAGGCATACAGGACACCGGATGTACAAAATTACAACAGATCTACACCAAGGCACATTATATTGGAAATGCCTAGCATACAGAATAGGGATAGAATCTTAAATGCCACAAGAGGAATCAAATCACATATAGGGGGAGACCAATTCGCGTATCGGCAAATTTTTCAACCCAGACCCTCAAGCCAGGAGGAGATCCTGGAACAACATATACCAAGCTCTGAAAGAAAATGGATGCCAACCAAGAATCTTATATCTTGCAAAATTAAGCTTCAGATTTGATGACAATAAAAACTTTTCATGATAAACAAAAATTAAAAGAATTTTCAGCAAAGAAAGCCTGCATAATAGAACATTCTTGGCAAAATATTCCATGAGGAGGAAATGAAAAGCAACAGTGAAAATCTGTAAAGCTAAGAACTACACTAAAGGAAAGGCAAATCAAAGAGAAGCCAAGTCAATTTAAGAACCAAAAATAACCAAAATGACTGGGAATATAAAACGTATTTCAGTTATAACCCTGAATGTGAATGGCCTAAACTCATCAATTAAAGACAGATTGGATTTTTAAAAAGACCCAACAATATGCTGCCTTCAAGAGACTCACCTCCCAGGAAAAGACATTCACAGACTGAAGATGAAAGGATGGGAGAAAATGTATCACTCACATGGACCGTGTAAACAAGCAGGGGTTTCCATCCTTATATCAAATAAAGTGGATTTCAAACCAAAGTTAGTGAAAAGGGATAAAGAAGGACATTTCATACTACTCAAGGGAATCATACATCAATAAGACACAACAATTGTAAATATCTATACCCCAAACAATGGGGTATCTATGTATATCAAACAAACCCTCTCAACTTTAAGAATCAAATAGACTACAACACAATAATGTTGACTTTAACATACTTCTCCCACCGCTGGATAGATCTTTCAAAAAAAAAAAAAAACTAAACAAAGAAACTATAGAATTCAGTAATACAGCCAATAATTTGGACTTAACAGACATATATAGAATACTTTATCAACAAGTGAATACACTTTTTTCACGGCAGCACATGGATCCTTCTCCAAAATAGATCATTTGATATGATTGCCACAAAGCAAGTCTTAGCAAATACAAAAAAGTAGAGATACTATCCTGCATTCTGTCTGACCATATGGAATGAAATTAGAAATCAATGATAAAATTAAAAAGAGAAGCTACTCCAACACCTGGAGACTAAACAATATGCTATTGAATGACATGTGGATAACAGAAGACATCAGGGAGGAGATAAGAAAATTCTTAGAGGTAAATGAGAACTTCAGTACAACTTATCAAAATCTCTGGGATATCATGAAAGCAGTGCTTAGAGAAAAGTTCATTGCATGGAGTTCATTCATTAAAAGAACAAAAAGTCAACAAGTAAACGACCAGACATTACAGCTCAAAGCCCTAGAAAAAGAAAAATAAACCAACACCAAAAGTAGTAGAAGACAGGAAATAATTAAAATCAGGGCTGAAATCAATGAAATTGAAACAAAAGAAACAATTCAAAAAATTGATAAAACAAAAAGCTGGTTCTTTGAAAATAAATAAAATTGACAAGCCATTAGACACCCCAACAAGAAGGAGGGAGAAAACTCAAAGTACCAAAATTTGTGATGAAAAAGGAAATATAACATACACTATTGAAATATAGAAGATAATTAGAATCTGTTTTTGAAAATTTATATTTCATTAAAATAGAAAACCTAGAAGATACCGACAAATTTCTAGAGGCATATGATTGACCCAAACTGAATCAAGAAGACATATACAATTTAAACAGATCAATTTCAAGCAATGAAATGGAAGACCCCATCAAAAGCCTACCAACTAAGGAAAGCCTGGAACCAGACAGATTCACAGCTGAGTTGTACAAGACCTACAAGGAAGAATTAATACTAATACTCCTCAAGTTATTCTATGAAATAAGAAAGGAAGGAACCCTTGCAAACTCATTCTACAAAGCTGGTATCATCCTGATACCAAAACCAGGAAGAGACACATCAAGGAAAGAAAATTTCAGACCAATATCCATGATGAACATTGATGCAAAAATTCTCAATAAAACTCTGGCAAATCGCATACAAAACATAAGGAAAAAAAAATAGTGCTCCATGATCAAGTGGGGTTTATGCTGGGGATCAAGGTTGGTTCAACATATGGACATCAATAAACGTAATTCATCCCATCAGTAGACTTAGAGATAAGAATCATGTGATTATATCAATTGATAACAGAAAAAATGTTTGACAAAATACAGCACCCTTTCATGTTCAAAACACTAGAAAAACTAGGTACAGTAGGAACATACCTCAACATTGTAAAAGCTATCTGTGCTAAACCCAAGGCCAACATCATTCTAAATCGAGAAAAATTAGAAGCATTCCCACTAGAAACTGGAACAAGACAGGGATGCCCTCTTTCACCACTTCTGTTCAACATAGTTATTAAAACTCTAGCCAGAGCAGTTAGACAGACAGAAGAAATTAAAGGGATACGAATAGGTAAAGAAGAATTCAAACTATCATTACTTGCTGATGACATGATTCTATACTTAGAGGATCCAAAAAGTCCATCAGAAAGCTTCTAGAATTAATTAATGAATTCAGCAAAGTAAAATCAGGACATAAAATCAATACCTACAAATCAAAGGCATTTCTGTACATTAGTGATGATTTTATATATCACTGTATATAAAAATAAAGAGAAATTGGGAAAACAAAACAACCTCATTCACAATAGCTTCAAAAAAATCAACCAAACAAACAAACAAAAAAACCAACTTGGGAATCAACTTAAACAAAAGAGGCAAAAGACCTCTACAGTGAAAACTAAAGAACACTAAAGAAAGAAATTCAAGAAGACTTTAGAAGATGGAAAGATCTCCCATGCTTTTGAATGGGCAAAATTAATATTGTCAAAATGGCCATACTACCCAAAGCACTATACAATTCAATGCAATTCCAATTCAAATCTCAATGTCATTCCTTAT